ACCTGCATACCCTGAGTAAGGAGGAGGGAGTACTGTCTGTTTACACTGTAGAAAGGAACACAGCTAATATCAGCCAAGCAAGTGATCGAACTAAGGTTACCAACACAACGCTAGCATCAGCTACCAGACTGAGAGAAACGAGGCTGTTTTTCAGCTAAGCCAGTGAGCGAACTAATGTTACCTATACACAGTTAGCGTTAGCTACCAAACTAAGAGAAGCGAGGCTGTATATCAGTCAAGCAAGAGACCGAATTAACATTACCCACACAATGTTAGCACTAGCGAACGAACCATGTAACAAGCCAAATATATTACAAAAGCTACCTTGTGAAGAAAAACATAAAACTGAATTACATGGTAGATGACAGGAAATTACATTCTAATGCGCAGACTATATTATAAAGTGTTCTCAGTTTGGCTGGTGATGTCACAGTCACTAGCCAGGGTACTGCTTTTTGCATAGTGTAATACACACAAGCGAAGTTTTAGATCCTTCATGCTTTACTTGAAACAAATTGAAAGATAAGACTTCCATCCCCCCTTTTCAAGGCAAGACAAATCTTATTTGTGTCGTCCAGAATTTCAGAATACAGCCACAAAATCACTGTATAGGTTAAGGCAAAAGGGTAATACCATGTCAAGACCTTCTTATAGCAAGGATGAGACATGGAAAGAAAAATAGTCCAAGAAGAAATGTAAGAGGCAACCCTGCTTTGGAGGGGATCCCATCCTTCGTGAAACTTGCCTTATTCTGTACTTTGTGGACAATGAACATGTAAGAAAATGACACTATAGAGCAAGGAAACCTTGAATCAGAGGTTTCCATTCATCAGACTGAGGATCCATGGGGTAAACCTCAGATAAATGGATTAGTCAGCTGTAAGCCCCTTAAATTGGATTTAAGAGGAGAGAGCAGTAATACTGAACCAGACATTGTGATCAGCTTGTGCCCGAAATCCACTTGCCCCATCTTTGACTTCCTCTGTAGTGAAGTCAGCGGTGCCTATCCATTTATTCATTGATGAAATTAGATAGCCACAATACCATCTTTTTCTCTCTTGCTCAATTCATGAATTCCTTTGAGATATTTGCGTCACTTGGGGTCATGTGCATCCTTTCTAGTACCCCGGTCAGCTTCTCTATTATTAAAATGAACCATAACATTCTATAATACTTATATTTCACTTGCATTATCCAAAATATTGAATTTAACATTTTTAAACTGTTCTCATACCCCCATTTACGTTTTTAAAAACGTTTCACTTCAACACAGGATCCATCCTTGTTCGATCTACTGTTTTTTTCCACAACACTGAGCAGTGTTCAGCACAGCTCTTACGACCAGAAAGCCGCACCTCTAATGCTTTCAATGCTACATTTAACGAGGCATAAAATCTGATTCAGCAAGCATGCTCTAAAACAAACAAAAATTGTTGTTGGGAGTAAACATAGTCATTGACTGGACAGTCACTTAATACACATACTGTTTTCAGTGACAAACACCCTCATCCTCCCTGCTGAGGGAACGATTCTAATTCTTGAGACATTTGGAGATGGTGCCTACACATCCCACCTGGTTTTTTGACCTTATCTGCCCTCGGCACAATGATTTGACAGAATGTCTCCAGTGTGCTTACCTTATTCATATCAAAGGTGTAGAACATCTCCTCAATGTAGGCATTGGCTCTGGGCTCCAGTCCGCGCAGCCCGAAGAACTGCTTAAATTCATGCAGCGTCAACTGTCCTGAGGGACACTCCGTCATAAACTTCTTGTACCAGTTGTGCATCTCCATTGATTGCAAGTTGTCCACTGAACAGTCGTTTACATTACCCATCACGACTCAATAACGAAGCAAGATGCAGAGAGAGACAGAAATCGGGAAGAGCAGATGGCAGATGCTGACTCTCAGGCTGCGGTGTGGGATTGAGGACTTACTTGATCCCTGAATGCTGCTGGGCTGATTGACCTACTGTCAGGAAATGCTCCGCCCAGCTTGTACTAGGAAAGAAATGACGGCACTGGAGACTTTTGTGTTTACAGGGATTAGCCCACTTTTGGGATTCCCGCTGCCCTCGACACGAGTTGCTGCCTGCAATCTGCCTGTAATCAGTGGGCAAACACCTTGGGGAAGCGTTAGCGACACTACAACAGTGCACCTGGCTCCTGGAGACAAAAGCCTTGATCTTTCATTCAACGTGCAATGGAATGGGAAAGGATTTACCCTCACTCTTAAGCAAGGATTTACAGCAGCTAATGAGACCTTGTTATTTAATTACCCTCACAATGCATGCTTCTTTCAAGATGCACTATCTCTACAGCCCATCGCACAGGACCTCCTGAAACATACCAATGCTTATCTATAGCGCTGCATTGTGTTCTAACACTTTTCATTGCAGACCAATAGACAGACTACATTAGAAAAATCTGATCTCTTCATAAGAAGAATATTAAAACCTCTTAAAACCCAATGCATACTGGGATTTACTTAAGTCAATAAATTTCATAATGTTCTAATGTACATAATTAGCAAAACACATTGATATCATGCAGAATACTTTTAGTACTTACAGAATCTTCATAATCCATGCCCTGATAATGGGTCCAAGATCATCATAATCTGCAGAACTTGGTTTCAAAAAAATGTTTTAATAATTGGGCTTCAAGAAAAACCATTTGAATTTTTCATTTATTTACCATTTATTTTCATATGAATTTTTGAAAATAACCACTGGACACGAGGCAAATTGCTCTGACGATTGCGACTCAAGCTTCCGCATTATCAAAACCCATTTTACCTCATCCTAGAGCTTATGTGATTTATAATTTGTTGCTGAAAAGGTCTCTAAACATAACTGTTGAATTTCATGAGCAGCCATTTCTAATTTGCTATGCTTTCTTGACTGACAGTGATGCTGGCCTATCCCATCATATCCATGGTAGTGGAAGTGTCTTTCCTTTCGTGTTGTAGCATGATAACCTATTGTACGTGAGTCCTTTTCTTCACTTGTCTTACGGCAAAACATTCTGTATGTTGCCCCCTGAGCAATCAATGTACTGTCTGGTTTTGTTTTCCCTCCAACCATGTGGTGTATTTACAAGTCTTGGAATGTCCATCTGAGAACCAGAATTTACCGTTTTACATGCAGTTATTACCTCATTTCAAACATTATGACCTCATTTTCAAACCTCCTATCTTTGCCTTTACTTTGTTGTGTCTTGTTTCACTTTTGTTTGTTGGATGCATTGGGGAATCCTCCAGGTAATACAACAAGGGATGCTCCTGTCTTAGCTGGGTAGACTGGATTAGGTGGCCAATTTCCCATTGAAATATAATTTACTTTAAAATATGTTTCAAGGTAATTATACACTTTATTTATGCCTGACTGATTGTGCATTCACAAGAGGGTCATTTGGAATTCAGTGCAGTGCTGGAAATAACTAGGACATTTAAAAAATGGCATTAAGTGGCTCAATCTGTAAATATTAGCAATCTGTTCATTAAGCCATGTGTAAGGTTATCATCTATCTTACCATCACTTTGCTGAAGCATAGGGATACAGCATGTTTTCACAATAATAATTATCATTCGTTGTAAAGACACTTTGGTAACCAAACCAAAAGGGGCTTGCCGGAAAAGAATACCACCCAATCTGTTTGGTAAGAGACATTGATACAATTTTTTTTTTACACAAGTAGTTAGCATATACAGGAATCCCTGTAACTGTAACTCAGCATATTATGCTGAGTAAAAAAAAAACTCAATTTAAAACAAAAGAGGTTGAGTGGACTTTGTGGGTTTTGCATTCCAATTCTTCATATTCTAATACATAAAAATAATACTGCAATAAAAACTAATAATAAAATAAGCATGCATAACTATAGGAATATTAACTTAGTTCATACATGCTGCATACATGATAATGAGATTGATAATACTGTAAAATATTGTGAATGACTGAATTATAATTAATTGCTATTGATTACTGAATAGTTGATTGATGATGTCATCCCCAATTGATTCATTGTTTGGTGACATCATTTCCTGTTTATTTTTTCCATACCTGCTGTTGCTTGTCCACAAATACTCTCCAAAATTTGAAGAGGAGTTTTGATTTTTAGATTTTTTCTATACATAAGTTGATGAAAATCATGTTAATCATTTCTGTGTCTCCGCTGTCTGTTGCAGGGTTACTGTGCCTAATAATATCAGGAATGACTTATTGCACTTAAATGGGATTGTACTTTTTTCTTTATTGCACTTTTTCATTGAGGCACTTGTTAAGCCATGGTTGCTCTAATGTTATCTCATTGTTATTTATAACAATGGCACAAAAGAATCTGAATCTGAATGTGAAAATAAGTTTTAGAAACTGGACTTGGGTAGAAAATGACTATTTGGTCATAAAGAGGCAGTTCCCCAATTCTGAAAAAGCTAGAAACACATTTATAGTTTTTGAGATGCAGTGCATTTTGTAACAGTAATCCAAACAGGCAGAATTGCACCAATTTGCCCCTGAGGCGAAAGAGCTTAATAAGATTTATATTGATAAATCCATCAAACATGTCAATTTTTAGGGAAAGCCCGTAAATTAAACAGATTTTCTCCCATTTTCACAGCTTATGGATGCACAAATTAAGTTATAAGTTTTTTTTTTTTTTTTTTTTTAGAAAAGTCCTTCATTCAAAATATTTATGATTGGAAGCTACTGATATTGACAACGATGAATGAGCACATGAACACACACCGGGGTAAACACACAACAACTGGATGCTTGTTGTCATAGCACAACATAATTTTCTGTTGGTCATTATGGACCATTTTTCAGAGCTTCTGCTAAACACACATACAGACTATAGACTATGTAAAACAAGGTAGCCTATGGTCTGCACAATCAGCTGCAAATGTACAAACACAACACGAAGTATCAAGAAGAGCTGGGTTCATGAGGCTGCTATTACTGGATGTTAGCTTTCTTCCTTGTGTGGCAGGCCAAAGGAGGGCCTGGGCAGGGAATTGAACCCCAGACACCCAGGGTAAGAGTCAAACACGCTGACCACATCGCCAAAGAGCCAGGCTTGTTGGCAAGATGGCCAGGGCGCATACTTATTAGGAGGCATTTCTAGTGACAGGACCCTTCAACTGTCACACTTGCAATTGATGGGTGGAATCATGAGAATATGAATAAGAGACTGGCAATTTTGGTCAAGATTTCCACAGAGAGGAGCGAAATTGAGGATTGACGTGCCCTTGTGTAACATCGACCAGAGCATGGCAATTTTTACTGTCCTGGATGAGGCTTTCTGTTTTCTATTTACATACTTGAATAGAAAGCTTTTTTGAGCCTTTACAAATATTTTTATGAAATTTGTGCACTCCATTAACCTCTTCCACCTGGGACTTGCCATCGGAGGGATTATAGTTCTGCTCTCACCTCGCTTTAAAGTGCATTACTTCTCCAAACCCATTCCCGGTTACGTTTCCTGATTAGCAACGACGTGCCAATTCGCTGAGTTGCAAGGATCTTTTGGTAGAATAACTGAACATATACCCTCAGCTAGCAATATTGTCAATTGCAATAAGTATCAAGCATTTTTCTGTCCACATTAATGGTGACATAAAACGTCAATGTCTTACAAAGCATCTGAATTCCTGTAGCTCACAAATCAATGTTTCTTTTTTTCCCTGCGTCAGTGTCCGGTTGGCTTGATATGCCTAACAAAACATTTTAAAAAAATGCGGTATGTTTAGCCGACTCAACGCTTGTTAAGTTTGCTTTTGTAAAAATAAAACTCATTGATTATAAGATCATTAGAAGCAATGGAATTGTATTAAGACATTTCAAATGATCTTATTACATTTAAACAATTTAAATGATAATGAAACACATGCATTGGTTCCAACCTCTGAGTAAACAAAAGCGTGAGAAGTCCAGAGTCATCATCGGTTTTCGATTACTAGTGGTAAAATCCACCATAACGCATGTGAAACTGAAAAACTTCCATTCACAAGGACTTCTATTCCGCACGAGAATCTCTTACATATGCATTGATTGAATAATTGCTGACTACAGCAGGGGAACGTAAATATGCCACTAAAACTCACGCCGAATGCGTGAGAGTTGACAGGAATGCGTTATTAATGAAAACTGACCACACCTGATAATGTTGACAGTTTTTGGAGTGTCTGTAATGGTAATTTAAATGAATGATTGAAAGCAGGTCGTGACCAATCATTATTTTTAACAGTTTACATGTGCGCCAACCCCTGCGGATCATATTTCAACATATCCAGCCGAGGGCCGTAATTAGAAACGAGTGTCGCTTTATGTAATGCAACTGAGGAGAGGACGCCTCATGTCGTGTAAAACATATGTCCTTGTTTATTATGTCCTCTCTTCTGTTTTCTCAATGCATCCTTGGTGGGAGGACTAAGACTCAAGGATAGGGCGCAAGTGAGGGGAACGAGGATGCAATTTAAGAGACTTGATACGTAGCCATTGTCTATGTCAAGAATTGGAAATTACCTAGAGGTGTCTGGGTATCGCGTCATGAAAACTAGGGTACTCCTTAGGTGAGATCATGTGACAGATTACTGACTGAGTTTTGTTCTGGAGTTCCTCATCTCCATCCAGGGGCGCGTTTCCCAAAAGCGTAGTTGCTTACTAAGTTAGCAACTTACTTAGTTTGTCCATTCACAGTCAGTGGGCCCGACTACGTAAGTTAGCTTCTGTGATTTTGGGAAACGCACCCCAGGGTAGCCCGAGTGCATGCTTAATTGATGTTTAATAAAGCAGTGGTTCTCTTACTCGGTCTTGGGGGACCACTGTGTATGCTGGCTTTCATTGCAACCACAATTGCAATCCCAGAATTCTACTAAGATGTTGATTTGTCTTAATTTGTCTGATTTTTTTTCACCCTCTAACTTCACATTATGAGAGAAATGCAATGCGTTCAGTGGGGAATGAAAGCCCTATGTCCATAATGTGTTCATAATGCTGCAATACAAGTAATTGCAAAAGGTCTAATATATTTACTGATTCAAGTCATACAAAAGTTAATTATTGAGCTCCTATAGGCTGCTGCACACAAGCTTAAGGTTCATTTTTTTCTACAATATACAGTAAACACAAAATAGGTGCGAGTCATTGACAATTGCTTTGCCTTCTAACTCCTCATTATCAAATAATTGGTTCAAGTTAGTGACCATGCATCAATTATTGTACTAATCAAGAGCCTATCGATATTTTGAAAGTTACTGGTACATCTGTTTAAATTTCACTTTTATTATTCTGCTGTTTCCCAAATAGCATGATGTGAATATGAAACTTCAATCATTCATAGCACGCATAGCCATTTTTGACAATACTGCTAGAAAGGATAATGAAGAAAAATTAACAACTCATTAAAATTCTAGAGTTGCATTTGTGGTTGAAATGAAAACCTGTATACACGGTAGTCCACCAGGACCGAGTTTGGGAACCACTGTAATGAAGTATACCTGAAATATGTAAAGCCTTGATGTTGCACATCCGGTACAGTAGGTGGCGGTATGAAACTCTATAGGTGAGTAGTAAATAGAAAGAAGCAGAAGAAGTAGACGCATGCACATGTTTACTGTCTGGGAGCAGTGACTAGTGAAGGTATGGTATTCTTTATTTTGGAGATATCGGTGGGGACACGCATTTTTTGTTTAATTCGTGATTAAAAGAAAATACCACAGCTGAAGGCAGCGAGAGGTTTAAAATTTACTTGTGTGTAGTTGCTCGCTTTGTAAAACTCGCATGCTTCCTAGTTTAGGCCATGAGAATCAAAGTTTTAGATTTGTGTCCGCCGGACATTTTTCCAATAACATGAGGCACTTTTCTATGTTCATTATGTATTGCTAGCGAACTCCTGCTGTCATGTAATTCAATCTGTACTTATGTACACGTCAATGGTAGTGATACCTGTATCCCATATTTCCCCAATTGTTTTTTCCATTTGCGAAGGAAACACCACAGTAATGGAAATATTTCTTTAAGTTCAATAGTAAATTTTAGCAAGCAAGGATTTACCATCCATCAAAGTGACTACAGCGATTTGTATGTAACTATCGCATGCGCTGCGTGTAGTCTGCTCATTCAACACATACTTCTGTATGCGTCGGGTATCGCAGAACTGTAGTGAGCTAGATAGCTCGCTGTGTGCAGAGTCCTCGAAAGAGTCGTGACAAGTAAAGAATTGGACCTCATTTTGTATCCATCGCGCGAAACCGAGCTGTTGCGCTCAATGGAAATTGTAGGATTTTTTTTTTTCCATTTTTCGGAAGGGAGACGTATTAATTTCGGAGGAAAACAATGACCCAGCTAGCAATGGTATCGTCTAGCATAACCGGGGAATATGTTCACGCATGATGATGAAAAAAAAAACTGTTGGCAGAATGTTCACTTTGAAACGATTCCCGGTAACGCGATGGAAACAAAATGGCACCATGATCAGATTTTTTTGGGATCCTCATGTCGGCATTTTATTTAGGAACTCTATCTGCGTGATGATCGTCGCCAAGTGGTTCCCAAACTCGGTCCTGGGGCTTCCCTGTGTATGCTTGTTTTAGTTCCAACCACACTTGCATTCGTGGGATTTTAACAAGCTGCTGTTTTGTCGCAATTTGAAATTTGCGATTTCAAAGCATTTATTCACCAAGCCACATTTCAACAAAAATGTCCATGTGTGTCATGAAGAACAAAATAACCTGGAACATACTGTGTTTATGTTTCCACATTGCGAGAACTATCAGGGTACAACAGTTTTAAACCAGTCAAAATGTACAGTGAGAAAATTAGTAAGCACCAAAGTAGGAAAGTGAATACAGGTGTTCAGAATTCTTTCTAAATAAATAGCCTGAACTTTAAAATTGTAGCCCCTGGACGAAGTCGGGTGGCTACTGTGGATTCATGCATGTCATCTCCGCCGCCGCGTCCGTGTCCGTAGACACTTCCTTGTGGACGCTCAACAGGCTGTATTTTTTGACCCATTGCTTTCATATTTGGTGTAGATGTGTTATAATTAACTTATGACACCTATCGATTTTGGTTGCCATAGCAACAGTATTGGCGGAATAATGCGCAAATTAGTGGCAAAACAGAGATTTCCTTGTGGACGCAGTACAGGCTGCAATTTTTGACTGATTACTTTAATATTTGGTCTGGAAATGTGTTATACTTCCTTATGACGCCTATCGATTTTGGTTTCATGGCGACACTATTGGCTGAATAATACGCAAATTAGTGGCAAAACATAGAGATTTCCTTGTGGACAACGTATCGGCTGCAGTTTTTGACCGATTGCTGTCATATTTGGTGTGTAATACTTAATTTATAATAGCTATCAATTTTGGGTGCCATGGCGACAGTATTGGCCAAATAATGTGCAAAAAAGGGGAGAAGTGGGCTTTCAGGGGCTACACCCATGTGGTCGCAGCCGACTGGACTGTCTAGTATAAATCAGTAATTAGTTTTCACTACCATGTGTCCAAAGTTTCACCAGTTAGGAAATTACTTATTGTTTACTTTGATGGATTATTTTTTTTTTTTTACCTTTTTTTTGTGCAGTTGTTTTAAATCACCATGTGGATGTGGAATATCTGTTCTTCATGGCATATATGGATATCATTCAAAAATGTGGCTGAAGATAATGAAGAACTTCTCTCAGCATAAATGCACCTACTTGAGATAAACTGACAGCCTGTCAAAATCCTTTGATTGCAATTGTCAGAACAAATACCAGCATGCACAGGAAGCCCTAGGACTGAGTATGGGAACCACTGTGTCACCAGTAACTGCATGACGTACTTTGTATTGTATGAGTAAATGTACCCTTTTAAAGCTGTTTGATGATTTGGAACTTGATAATTTTTGATGGAGAACATTTTTATGTGTTGTTAGATAATGATTTTTTTTTTAATAAAGTACTTTTTAGGTGGGTGGTTTTGGAGGTTGCAGGTGGTGGACACAAATCTAGAACTTTTATTCTCATGGCCTTACTTGCTAGCTAGTTTAGTTACCTGATAACTTTTCAGATTACAAGACTCCATTCAG